AGAGCCGCGCTTGACGTCTCCGTCATTTCCACTCTGCAACAGTTTACCTTGAAGTAAAGTTTAATATCAGACAAGATATAGGGATGGTGTCATGTAGCTTTGTGCATCTTTGCTGTGTAATAACCCCTTGTTTCTTCCTTTTTGGTGCTTCAAACCATCCCTATATCCCCCTTTCATTTTGAAGAAATGATTTTTCCACTTGTATCTGTTAGCATCATCCACTGCCCCCCAGGACACAATGACTGAGGATGATTCTGCAGCAGTCAACACACCTTCAGGAGTGTCAGGAGCTGTGTTAGAGAGAGAGAGGAAGGGAATGGTAAGAGTAAACTGCAGTTGTAACCTCTCACCCAGTGTAATAGTCATCTCCTCAGATACTCCAGGTAGCATGTTGCTGGCAGTAGCCTCAATTGAAAAGGTGTATGTCTCTCTGTTAGTGAGATCATTGATTGGAGTGCTGGTGGAGCCTTGACTAACAGTCATAGTCCCATCATCGCCATTACCACTGGCAAGACGGTAGCGTACTGTGTATCCAGTTACAGTGGCTTCTGGTGGTGGAGTCCACGTAACATGACAGTGGTAGGAGCAGTTTGCATTAGTTCAGTGATGGTTGAAACAGCAGCTGTAGCATAATGTAAGACAATCTACAGACTCAGTCCACACTGCATGACGAGTGTTTACCTCTCAAAGTCACACTGCTAAAGTTTGACACAAAACTAGTGACATTGCACTGGAATACATCTCCAACCGTGCCACTGGATATGACATCTGTCCTGGCAGTGTACATGTCATTACTCCGAAACAGTGGAGTACCAAATGCCTGTATGTTGGTACTGATGTCAGAGTTGTATCCATTAGGTCCAGAGACGGCCATGTTGAGAGCTCTACCACCAGTGGAGGTACACCTCACTCTGAATGTCAATGTTCCTGCCTCCACCTCAATAGCTGCAGTTACCTCGGTGACTGTAGGAGAGGGATCATACAAGAATATCTCTCATTATATCATCACGAGAGATGGCTACTGACTGGGGTAGAGGACATACCGTCCTAGTACAGGGTTAATGTCATTAATCATATGACAGTTGATATATCCTTCCTCTGGAGTTTCCCTCCTTCTCCACAAGTAGTGTACTCCATGATCACCTTCATTAGCTCTCAATCCACTCCATCCTCGAGTTACAATACCACGACCACTATTAAACCTTATGTACTCTGGTTCTGGATAAGCACAAGGGACTGGAGTGTCTCCATCACCAACATGACATCCATAGACAGACCGTTCAGACTGACACCTCATAGCTCTGTCGAAATTATTATTTAAACTCTCCAACTCAAAGTCATACACACTGATCCTCGTCATGTTGTCATTAGAAACGGATATACTGTTCTGGCCATTATTCACAGTTATAGTTAGTCCTGTGGAGAGATGACAGAAAACGAACAACGAAATTCAGCCGCTGACAGGCAACACTAATATTTTTTAGGTGATGGAGGAAGAATCACAGTAGAGAAAACAAACTAGCGAATTCTTCCCGCCGATCCAGAGTCACAGACCTTACCTTCCACTGTCAGTGTCATCCAACTACACAGACACAGCAGAGCAGCTAGCAGGTGCCGTGCCCGGGAGCAGCTTACCACTAGCATTTTCCACACAGCTAGAGGACCTCGCACTGTTAGACAGGGTGAGGCATGAGCGCTAGTTTTACTACTCACAGCAGTGCCTCGTTGCATACATTCAGAGCAGAAGGCCTCATTGTGTTTCATCAAGCACGACTATTATTGGGACCACGGTTATGAAAAATATTCGTTGTCCTTGGTGTTGTTGTTGTTGATTTGATTTCATTCATGATTTGGTCCTGAAAGGCAAACATGCGGTGGGCTTACATACCACAATGCCAGAGAAACAAAACATACGTCACAAAGTGCATTAGGATGCACTATTTTGAACCAATGATGAGCAGCGATATATAATTATAGTCCCCTGCTGGTTTGTTCTATGACACATTTTCCGCAGCTTGCGCTGTTAGCAAACTAGATGGCATACAGTCACACAATACTTGCACTTTTTATAAAAAGGCCCACACAGAATGCATGTCACATACATGGACTAAAAACATTATTTTAGTGTATACTAAGTAGCTGTACGTAGGGGTTATGTCAATAAACACCCTCATAAATCCCCTCAGCCCCAGACGGTGGCTGGGTGTACTTAGGAATCTCGTACTCTCCTTCAGTCTCTGCTGGTTTCCCATGAGGACCACTCATACCATACGCTGGGTTGGCCCCTGTTGCCATATCTCCCTTGACCGCAGCTGGTCTGTAACATAGTGTAGAGAGCATGGCTGGATGACAGACACTGGTGATGGTACCTGTGTCTTTTGACAATAACTGCTCCACCGATGAGTCCAGAGACACCCACTGCTACACCAAGCAGGAGGCCTATCACCATTCCAACAATCATACCAGTTGAACCACATGACTGGAGACTATCAGCAGATTCACAACTATCTGTATCATAGGGGTCACAACATTATAGCAAGTGATGCATGATTAGTAGTACATTGGTGTGTCATTGTTGTCACAGGGTCAGAGTAGAGCCCAACATCTCCATTCCCATTCACAGCAGCTACTGATATGGAGTAGTTTGTGGAGGGAGTCAGTCCGGTCAGAGTTACTCGGCCTCCGTTCCTCCAGTCTTCACCATCTCCCAATGTATAGTCCTCAGTCATTGTATTGCATGCTGCGTACTGAACTCTGTACTCAGTGATTCGACCATTGACCAGTCTACAGTTGGAGAGGCCACTCCACCGGACAGAGATGTCAGTGGAGCTCTCAGCCTCTGCTCTCACATCCCCGGGAGCCTCTCTTGCACCTGTACATACACATACAGACGTACACACAGACTGTGAGACAACAATCCTCAGTGGGTCTCACTTGTCTGTGGTGTTAGAACACTCCTGGTCCCACTGGGTCGACTGGTACCTCGAACATCACTGACTGCCTCCACAGTCACCTCATATGTGGTGTAGGCTCTCAACTCATCAGTCACTGTTGACCCCACATCTCCTCCTACAGCAATACTGACAGTAGTGGAGGGAGCACTGACTGTCAGAGTGGCAGTATGAGAGTCAGTAGGACATAGTCCCTGCTGATTGGTTCCCTGAGCCATGGAGAATGTGACAGTATATCTGTCAGCATCAACCACAGCCCCCCAGGACACAGTGACTGAGGATGATTCTGCAGTAGTCACCACACCTTCAGGAGTGTCAGGAGCTGTGTTAGAGAGAGAGGAAGGGAATGGTAAGAGTAAACTGCAGTTGTAACCACTCACCCAGTGTAATAGTCATCTCCCCGATACTCCAGGTAGCATGTTGCTGGCAGTAGCCTCAATTGAAAAGGTGTATGTCTCTCCATTAGTGAGATCATTGATTGGAGTACTGGTGGAGCCTTGACTAACAGTTCATAGTCCCATCACCGCCATTACCACTGGCAAGACGGTAGTGCACTGTGTATCCATTCACCGCGGCCTCTGGTGGTGGAGTCCACGTAACCACGACAGTGGTAGGAGCAGTTTGCATTAGTTCAGTGATGGTTGAAACAGCAGCTGTAGCATAATGTAAGACATTATAAATACTCAGTCCACAAATGACGAGGGTTTACCTCTCAAAGTCACATCTCTAAAGTTTGAGTCAACACCAGTGACATTGCATTGGAATACATCTCCAACCGTGCCACTGGATAGGACATCTGTCCTGGCAGTGTACCTGTCATTACTCAGAAACAGTGGAGTACCAACTGGCTGTATTTTGGTACTGATGTCAGAGTTGTATCCATTAGGTCCAGAGACGGCCATGTTGAGAGCTCTACCACCAGTGGAGGTACACCTCACTCTGAATGTCAATATTCCTGCCTCCACCTCAATAGCTGCAGTTACCTCAGTGACTGGAGGAGAGGAATCATACAAGAATATCTCTCATTATATCATCACGAGAGATGGCTACTCACTGGGGTAGAGGACATACAGTCCTAATACAGGGTTAGTGTCATCAGGAAAATGGCAGTTGATATATCCTTCCTGTGGAGTTTCCATCCTTCTCCACAAGTAGTGTACTCTACGACCAACTTCATTAGCTCTCAATCCATTCCATCCTCGAGTTGTAAAAGCACTACCAAAACGTATGTACTCTGGTTGTGGATAACCACAAGGGACTGGAGTGTCCCCATCACCAACATGACATCCAACAGTACCACCTACTCCGTCTAACATAAGTTCAGACTGACACCTTATAGCAGCTCTGTTAAGATCAAAACCTGAACTCTCAAACAGAAGGTCATACACACTGATCCTCGTCATGTTGTCATTAGAAACGGATATTTGACCATTATTCACAGTTATAGTCAGTCCTGTGGAGAGATGAGAGAAACGAACAACGAAATTCAGCCGCTGACAGGCAATACTAATGTTTTCAGGTGATGGAGGAAGAATCACAGTATAGAGAAAAACAAACTAGCGAATTCTTCCCGCCGACCCAGACCTTACCTTCCAGAAATTCAGCCGCTGACAGGCAACACTATTTTAGGTGATGGAGGAAGAATCACAGTAGAGAAAAACAAACTAGCGAATTCTTCCCGCCGATCCAGAGTCACAGACCTTACCTTCCACTGTCAGTGTCATCCAACTACACAGACACAGCAGAGCAGCTAGCAGGTGCCGTGGCCGGGAGCAGCTTACCACTAGCATTTTCCACAGCTAGAGGACCACGGGTCGGGCGCCAAGCGAGCGCGAGATGCGAAAATGTATGTCATTCATGATTTGGTCTGGTGGCTTACATACCAGAAATGCCAACCCGCAAAAACATGTCAGAGAAACCAAACACACGTCACAAAGTGCTGAGGATGCAGTATATATTTGCACCAAGGGTTCCAGACAGCTAAGCAGAGATATAGTCTCCTTTAGTCCCTGCTGGTTCTATGACACATTTTCCGCAGCTTGTGCTGTTAGCAAACTAGATGGCA